ACAGATGCTGAGATACGACAACTGATTGAAGAAATCTCACGGCACGGAGATGTGGTTGTTTACACGGATGGATCTGTTAAACGAGAGGAAAAATTTGGATGGGGCTTCCCAGCAAGAGTGAGCGGCAGATAGGTACAGGAACAGCAGAGATCATACGATATGACAACATCTAGCATGAGAATGGAGATACAGGCAATCACTCAGGCTCTCAAATGGGTCACAACAACTCGACAAGCGCATGTGATCTTTGTCACAGACTCTCAGAGCACTCTGAAAAAGATTGAGAGTGGGAAGCTTAGAGCTGAATGGACAGAGCTCCTGAAGAAGACAACGCTGGAAAAGATCAAGAGGATCTTCACCCCGGGCCATGCTGGAGTCAAGGGCAATGAGCGTGCCGATGGGCTCGCTGGAAAGGCAAGACCTGAAGGGAAGCTGTGCCCTGACAAACCTGAAATTGTACATTCAGTCAGGGAAACGCGAGAAAAAGAACAAGAAGAGTCGGAATACCATCATCTTGAGCGACTTCGTGAGCTTGGAATAGGATGGTGCGCATGCAGAAGTTCAAAACTTTGTGGGAGGAGCAGAAGGCTATGGAATCAACCATTGCTTGGAACCGTCAGCATCTACACACTTCGAGATGTGCTTCTTCAGGGGACGGAGCGCTTATGGGGATGCCCCTTGTGCAGTGATGTCGGTCCTTCACACAAATAAACAAGTAATGATAATAATTATTATCATTATTATTAGTATAAATATTCTTATCATTATAATCATTATTATTATTTCTCTTCAATACATTTTTGTTCACACAGAATTCAAGACTGGCCACATCGATTTCGCTAACATCGTGAACTTCAGGGATTACGGCGAGCAGTCAGGGGTTCTTCCTGACGGCCTCTTCAACGAGAAGAAGACACATTTCAACTACTGCTGCAAGGTCACCGGCTTTGAGAGATTCCCCCTTTACCTCCCTACCTCCAAGCCTCTCGTCCTGTTTCAACCAAGGTTGTCTTTCTCCTGCCAGAAAGTGTTTGGTAAGTTTTCTACCTTCCTAACGCGACCTCAAAATTGCATTGAGTTTGTGGGTGCTCTGGTGTGGTTGACTGCCTGAAAGTGTTTTGTAAGATTTCCGCGCCACGCGATCTCAAAGTTGCATGGAGTGTGTGGGTAGTTGGCGAGTGTTCTGGTGGGATTTGCACCTTCTTTTATAAATAATAATAATAATAATAATAATAATAATAATAGATAGCATTCGCATGGCACAAATTCCCGTGAAAAAGCAAGCTATATGCGCTTTACAATCTATACTATTATTACCCGGCAGATCTGATAGCATTCTGAAAGAATCTCAACTTTCTATTAAACATTTATCGTTCTTGTCCCCCTTTCTTATTTTTGTGTCTGTTACTCTTTTGTCACCCATCTAATCTTCCGCACTTATGTGACCTTATTGGGCTGCAAGTGCCGTAAAACTCTAACTAAAAGAAACGGAGTTTTGTATTTTTTCAATGTAAGTTTTTGTAAGTCCACCTGTGAACCAATTTAGATAATTTAGGAGGCGGGCTTCGATCCTGCCTGTCAGGGTCAACCTGGGCGCAGAAAGACACAATATTCCCACAGAAATAAAACAATTCCCGCTCGGAAATCGAACTCAGGTCTCCTGTGGGCCACAACAAAGAGCCGAACTGTTACACCACGGAAAGCAATATTGTCAAAGATTCTCTACTAGTAGTAAAGTATCTTTGGTATAGTAACTAGGTTTTAACTCTGAATATTTAATTTAGAGATGGAGTGTGTGGGTCTCCATGTGCACTCCGTCTACATTATACCATGTAGAGATAGAAGAAGAAGAAGAAGAAGAAGAAGAAGAAGAAGAAGAAGAAGAAGAAGAAG